CGTGTTAGGGCAAACATTGACAGCAGGCTACTTTGCTGAACCTTGTTCCAAGTTATTATATAAAAATACAAATTTTACAGGCCACAGTTCAGCAAAACATTTTGGCACGTGAGAAACCCCAGTGAAACTAAGAGAGACTGTTCACATTTTAAAGTTAAAGTGGTGTTTAAGCTGGATTGGGATGCCTAAAAGAAAGGGCTTAAAGACTTCCTATCAGTGTTTTGCAGACAGAAACGTAGGCTGTTATCTCACGTTAAATGGTATCAGCACTTCTTGTTATTAATCAGGAACGTTGCAGATACTTGCAAATACTATATGATGCGACTCCAAAGCAAGTATCTGAATTCATGATTTGCAACCTGAATAGCATTAAAGCACCAGAATGAAGCATTTCCGTTAGGTATGCAACAAATAAGACAGGAGTCAGTAAAAAGAAAATCTCTACAACTCTTGACTGCAATGTCTATAAACTTTCCTTCCCCTTAAATATGAACTTGGATTTACATTAGCACAGAGGCGGGCAATTATTTCTGGCAGGGGGCTGCTTACCGAGTTTTGGCAAGCCAGTGAGGGCTGCATGACAGGCAGCTAGGGGCAGATAAATATACATTTTCTAAATTTTTTAGGGGCCCTGTGAGCCGGATAGAATGGCCTGGCGGGCTGCATCCGGCCCACGGGCCGCATTTCACCCACCCCTGCATTAGCAGTACACATATACATATGCAAGAGCATGCGCTCATGCCTTTAACATCAGCAGGGAGAAAAATAAAGCTTTGTATGAAGACATGGCCCCCTTAAAAATAAATCAAATTGCTATTGAATGAAGTTCAACAGAGAAGTGCTGTGTATGCATACACAGACTTAATGAGCACCTACCTAATATACTTGCTTTGCCTATATTTGTTATAGATTCCCCATAATGGCGTCGAACCATGACTGGCGAAGTGGTTGGGCTCGATGCGGTCGATGCGCTTTCATTCTCGGTGACTGAGGTAGGTTCTTTCGTTGGGTTGAGAAAACTTGGCTTCATATGCTCGTAAGGTAGTGGATTTGCAGTGTTATACCAATGAATCTGGACTGGCGAAATGTTGCTGTAGTGCTTCAGAATTAAAGGTTCTAGTCTATAGGCCTATAAAGCAAATTCAGAGAAGAAAATCTTGAGCACCGACAAAGACCGAAGATTCAATTCACTCGCTAGCATGGAGTGCTCTTCATCCTCAAAATGGTGTTACAGTTCACTCGATACATCCTCAGACTTCTCTGGATGAATGTATAATAGTAGCAGCCCAATTTTACAGGGTTACGTGGCTGGCCCAAGGCAACAGGCTGAGGCAGCAGAGGTCAGAAGGAGATCTCCTCAAGTTCCTTGCTCCCATCTCTCAGTTAAGAAATAACATGTGGCCGTCAAATACGTGTCAAATCAATCTCCAGAAAGTGGCCAACACTGGCAATATGCTCTGGCCTAGGTTCATTTTTAATGCCTGGAAGATTATGGTGTCCATACGTTTGTGTATTTAGCTGCAGCTCTGCTCAATATATTCAAACATTAGTAGAAGGCCGTTGCAATCCCGCAGAATACTAATCCTTTCTATACAGATAAACTACTGCTACATTTCAAATCAAATTGGCAAAAAAAACTGGCAACTGCTTGCACAAATCTGAACATGCATTGTTCAGCGATCACTGTGAAAATCCTGCCTTTACAGGCTTTCACACACCACCTATGTCAGCACATGCAGATGTTGTTGATGCTGTTTAGACAACGAGCTTTACAAACACAGGTCGTATTAACACCGAGATTCAAAACCAGGAGCTGCAGCAGAGGCGACAGTAAGTTTTACCAACTTACTGGCATTCCCTCGCAATTCACTGCTGAACGAGGGCTACAGTCTTAGGTGACCACAAGCGAGCTGGAGAAATCTGGGCTAGCTAGAATTAACTTTAGGTGGATACATAATTGCTTTAATCAGGACAAAGAGTAGCTGCTGCATTTCCTTGCATACCGCACACCCCAAATAAGACATGCACCTTATTTTGGGCAGGCAAAATAAAGAAAAGAGATTTTTTTTCCAGAGTCACAGCTGAAAGCTGTCTGCATGGCACAGGGGGAGAGCCTACTTGTCAGCTCACTTGCCCTGGAGGCTCAGCAAAGTTAGAGACATAACTGTTTCATCAGGACTGCAGAATTGGCAGCAGTTTCTGGCTCTGATGCTGAAGAGTGGACTCTGCCCCAGCTGCATGCTGGCCCAGAGGGCAGAGAGAAGCACAGCTCCTGGCAGTCATTACAGCATCCTCATGCTTCCACTCGGATGCAGAAATCAGCCTCCCCGCCTAACATGCACACTCCAATTTTTTTTTTTTGGGGGGGGGGGGGGGTGAAGAAGGGTGTGTGGTATGTGAGGAAGTACGGTGTTGATGGATCACTGTCACTCTGCCAGGAGATCTCAGCTGGTTGCGGGTCTGTCCTGGGCCAAACGTTTAGCATTTTGATTAGCAACTTGGATGCAGGAAGTAGGAATATACCGATTAAATCTGCAGGTGACAAAGCTCTGAGGGGGCTGCAAACATTTTGCAGGAAAGGACTAAGAGTAAAAGGGATCTCGGGGCTTGTTCACACCGTTTCAGCAGCAGAGCTGGCACTGAAAGACCTGGCCCTCACCCACCAATGTCTACTGACCTGCTGCAAATCTGGAACCAGTGAGGTTGCTCCAGGCTCATCTCCAGGGAATGCTCTTGGGCATGCCAGAAAGTGTGGGCTTGAGAGTGGGCAGAGACAGGCCCAGACCAGCCAACTGTGCGCTTCTGGGTAGCAGTGTGTCTGTATGGTCAGGTAGGCAGGGAGTGCTAAAGCCCTGGGCTGCTGGGACTCGCTATCAACAGAGTGCCAAACAAGCCTATAGAGGGGTCTGGCAGGGGTCTCAAGGGTCATCCAGTGCAGGATGCTCTGTCCTGAAACCAGATATCCATCTATTTTTGAACATCTGCCAACTTCCCTCGTCAGCTTGTTTCAATGCCTTACTATTCTGACAGGTAGCAAGATTTCTCTGAAATTTAATTTATGCTGCGGCATAAACCCATTGCTTCATGCTTGCCCTCTATGGCAAGAATAGTTATTCTCCCTCTTTTTTAACCAGCCTCTCAAATATTTGAAAATTGCCATCATTTCCCCACTGTAATTTCCTTCTCCCCAAATTAAAGCTACTTAGTTGTCTCAACTGTTCTTAGAGCTGCCTGATTTCAACCCCTCTGTGATCTTTTCCCTTTGCTTCTGGATGATCTGCAGTTTCTCCACATATTAACAACAGTGCATACAGAATCCAGAATTGGGCATAATACTCCACCTGAATCTCACCAGTACCAAGCAGAAGAGTATTATCATCTCTCATGCCTTGCATACTGTATTTCTAATGCAGTCCAAAATGGCATTTGCTTTTTTTGGGGGGTGGGGGGGGACAGCATCATATTGGCAGCTCAACTTGAGTTGATCTACTGCAAGCTCCCTCAGCAATACAATCGTGTAACCAGTGATGCCCCATTCTGCGTTTCTGCATTTGTTTTTTTCTCCTTAAATCTAGCAATTTATGCTTGTCACTGCTGAATTTCATCTCGTTGTCTAGAGCCGAGTCCTTCAATTTATCAAGATGCTTTTGAATTCAAATCCTTGCATCCAAAGTGCTTGCAGGCAGTGTTGTTTCATCTGCAAATGGATCAGGAAGCTCTCTACTTGTGCACCTAAGCCATTAATAAAAGCATTAAACAGCACCAGACCCCTGTAACATTTCACAAGACCCCCCCCACCCATCTGACATCAATCCATTTATAGCTACTTCTTGCTTGCATTTATTCACCAAGTTTGTATCCACCTAATGCTAATTATCTAACATCTCCTTAGGTTTACTTGTAAGAATGCCTTGTGGGACTATGTTGAAAGTTTTACTAAAGGCCAGGTGCATCAGGTCCACTGCATTCCCTTCATACACCACACTAGTTGCCCTGTCAAAGAAGGAAATCAAATTAGTTTAGCATGATTTCTTCTTAATGAATCCATGTTGACTGCTAGCAATCTCCTCCTCCTCCCGGTATTTACATATTGGTGTAATCTCCTTCATTGGATGCATTCAAGGAGAAGATGAATAGGTATCTATCTAGGATGGTTTAAGAAGAATAAATCCTAGGTTTGGAATAAGTGGCCTTCCACCTTTATCACACGTTATAATCCTGAAAGCATGAAAATTTGCAGCCTGAATCAGATGTGTGGGACACGTCCCAATTAGCCTTTAATAGTGCTTACGTATGTGGAGTTAATTAGCAATTAACCTGAGAAGGAAATCGAGTGTAGACACACCATTCAGGGTATGAGAAGCCATCCTATGGTTTGTGTTGGGGTAGAAATGTGACAACTATGGCTTCAAGTCAGCAAAGCACTTAAGTATGAGCAGTCCATCTACACTTCAATGACACAATTCAAGTGTTTAAGGACTTGGTTGAATTTTAGCCTCTAGGGATTTAACAACAGATGACTGGTAGGAAGGAGCAAGGCAGAGCTCCACAACCCTTCTTACAAATGGGCAACTCCAATATCCTCAGTTTTGTTCCACGGAGTGGAGGCCACAGCCTCAACCTTGGGGATATGCACTGGGCTAGGGTTAGAGGACAGGCTGGAGTTCAGGCAAGAGTTCAACACAGCAATTTAATTAAAAACCAGTCTGTCTTAGGTAGATGTGTATTAGCATGTCGACAACACTTGTCTCTCGTATGCTTCCTATTAAGAATTTCATACAGATTTTCTTTTTGCATGCCAAAGGGTATTTTTTGAGAATGCCTTAATAGCTGCTTTTTAAATATCCTGTTACAGTGGAATTCCAGATCAAAAGCAGTCTTTCAAGAACCATTACCTACTGCTCTGTGGGCATCTGGATTTTCATTAGAGTTACTTCCAGCTCAAGCCTTTCATTTGTCTTTGTTTTCATAGACAGAAATGTATTCTGCACCTTCTTTGCCCTATTTGTTTCTAGACACAGCATTACTACCTGACTCTTCCAGCCTAACATCCCTTAGCACTGTAACATCTGGCAGAATTTGAGCTGTCATGCAGGTTGGAGATATTGCACCAACTCCTCAGATGAATTAAATTGGTACAGATGAAGTCAGAAGATATTCAGCACCAAGAAAAGGTTTAAAAAAAGAAATGCCAGCCATGCACTATAATAATGCAGAAAGCCTAACGCAGCAGTTCTGTCACAGAAGTTTCAAAGTTTTAAGTGGAAAAAGCAGCTTCTTTCGTGCAGCATTACGTAATCAGTACATTTAGTGGTGTTCAACCTACAGATCTGAACTCAGTCTGCTCCTCACTAAATCTTGCCAGGAGAAGACTGTGTGTTGCACAGGCTACACACTTTATTCTATGTTGCTAATTCATTTTACAATTACAACTGCTAAGAAATTGGTAGAGGATTGTTGGAAACCTGTTCTGCAAAACTGTTTGCATTCAGAAACATACCTATGTCGATGTAAGTACTTTGAAAACCACTCCTTACATACATTGCTTGCTTGGCCCTAAAGCTGCTTTATTTAAAAGTACTCCTGAGGTTAAAGTGTGTAACTACAAATAAGACTCACCACAGGATCTGTTGGATGAAAAATGTTTAGCAACCGGTTACAAATAGTTTTGGGCAGAATGTGATCTTGACTTCCACTGTTCCCTGGGCGGATGCCACGCAATGCCAAAAACACTGCTAATGGAGATCCCATACAGAAGAAATTCTCAACCTAAGGAAATATTTCATGTGTATTAACAGATGGAGCAAACGTAACTTTTTCCACATATACCGAGTATCGCAATATCTCAGTGGTACTTATGTATCCATCAAAGTGAGGAAGACCACACTGCAATACAGGTAAAACTTCCACTTCCCTCAATTATGATAAAAAAATTACATGTTATGGTATTGTACAATGTAATAAATGTCATAAACATTTTGGAGAGCTGCACGGTATCTCAGGTCGGTACGATGCATCAAATGAAAGAAACGTGAATGCTAATGGGGGTGGAGTGAGGACAATGCTTTTTGAGAATACCAAAGAAAAAGGATGGGTTCGATAAAACCGAAGTTTGATTTTCTCACAGAACTGCTGGAAGCTTACTACAATTACTTAACTCCTCTCCAAGCATACATTGCACAGACTATCAAGGAAGCAAAAAAACCAAGCTGCATTAAAAATAAAGAACAAATGAATGAGCTACCTCTATCGTATTTGGAGTAACCCCGCGTGTACACCAGCGTTACTCACAACCTCTTCAAAGCACGTTGCAGGAAATAAACACATTAGATAGTTGGAGAAAAACACCAGGGACCATCCTCCATAGGACAGAGCAGGTTTAGCACAAGCAGTGAGTTTGCAAACTGCCATCATATGGATCAGAGCTCCTGCAGGGACGAGCTATAACAGGGATCAGGAACCTTTTAACAGAGGCAAGGCTTGCTACACGGGCTGCTGATTTCCTCCCCTCCATGCCACCCGGTTTGCTCCCAACAGCCCGCTCAACAGTCTTGGTCCCCTCGCCAGCCTCGCACCCCCTCCTTGCCCCCTGAAAGATGCTGCCTTGGGGGTGGGGGTGTCAGCACTGCCAGGCGCATGGTGGTTAAATGCAGCAGCTGCCAAGCATAGGGACTTTTGGCACCTTTCCACTGCATCTCCCACCGTCCATCTCCCAGAGGCAAATGCAGCTGAACCTCATGACCAAGAGCAAAGGACAGAGGTAAAGAGAAAGGGAGAAAGGCAGTGGCCACAGTAAGGGGGACAACAGCTCATGGCTGTTGGCTACACTGATGCTTCTTCTCTGCAGCAGCCGCATCTCCTATGGGTGATGAGGCTGTGACAGACCCCCACCACCTCGCCAGCTGCCCCACCGGCTCCACACACCAGGTTTAGTCTCTGCAGGCTGGATTCAGCCTGTGGACTGCATTTCGCTGCCCTTGGCCTATACTGATGTTGTAAAAGGGACTGGCTTTGGCATGGAGGGGACTGTTGAGGCTCCGCGGCGATTCAAACTTGTAAACCCGTTCACCAAAAACTGGATGGAGACAATCAACTTGTCTGAAATAGGTCACCGCACAGTCATCACCGATCGTGACTTTTGATCATTAACAGCTTGTTTTGGGATTTGCAGCTAGGTCGCTGCTGAATGGCTTTGTAGAGCATTACAGGTCCGTAGACATTCAGTCTAAGGAATGAAACATCAAACGGAAAACTCAAGTCGAGTCATTTTTACCCTTAAGAGAAAACTTTGTTAAGTTCTTATGAGAACGTCACCGTAACGTTCACGATAAGCCGACAGGACAGCACAGCAGAACAATTACAAGCGCAATAACATTTAGCAGACAAGAGAAACTGCAGCATTTTTGTTGAGCGCTTCTGTTTAACACTCAGCTCAGCTGTGTCAGGCGAGACTGGAATAATGCTCTGGTTCACACAGACTCCAGCACGGCCCAAGACATTTCCCCTCCTTTAACTTGGCACGGGTATCACACTTCAGAACAAGACTTCTCCTTCAACAAGAATGTTCTTTCCAAGATCCATTTTAACAAAGAACTTGATTTTTGTAGTAAAGCTAGCCATCTTGCAGAGCACAAAGCACTCTTCTCTTTCAGAATCAAGCTCTGCATGCGCTCCTATACTTTCCAATTTGGACACAAGCTTTTTTTTGTCTTCAAATATAATGCTAAAATGCTGTGACCTTGGAATATAGGAAAAAAATGTCAGTAAATAATTCTTTGAACTATTAAGTTATCTTGAGCCCTGCTAATCGGATATACCTGTATTCCAAGCACTGAATACAAAATTGCTCAGAAAGAAACTGCTACGACTGGCGGGGAATGCATGATAGAGAATACTCAGAAGAAGTTTTCAGTAAATTCAGGTAATGCATGATAGCTAATACTCAGAAGAAGTTTTCAGTAAATTCAGCTGACATGAAGTACAAACTAGGCAATGATTTCAGAAGGCAAACAGCTCCAGCACCGAGATGTGAGGTTTCTCGGTTCCTTTTCTGTTTATAGAGATGCCCTCACAAACAAATGCTTTTTTCTTGCCGACCTGCATCGCGGTGTCGGCTCTATTTTCCTGCGTGCCCAAGCCTTTTAATGTGGTTCTCCAGCCCAGTTAAGGCACGCAGGTTCAAGATGTGGTATTCAACACAAATGGTTGTAATCGATATCAAAATGGCAAGTCTCCAAAGAATCAAGACCGATCCTTTCAGAAGTTAAGTCTGTTAAATGGAAGAAGCAGGTCGTTTATTTTGAAAATTGCTGCATGATGAAGTCCCATGAAGTCCGAAGGCTAAAGTATTTTTAAAACCACTGCTTAATTTTGATATGCTTTTTGCTGAAGCAGGAACAAGTACTATTACCTATTTGGGTGCAGCACTGAGTTTTTAGTGTGGAAGTTTAGATAAAGGGCAACAATAAAAACAATTGCTTTCTCCCCAAAGATCGATTCTTAAGACATCTATGAATAAGAAGATAACCTGAATTATTGGTAAGGAACAACACAAGAACATCAGGTACTTTGGCAACAAATACCAAATCACTGACATTTCTACTTGAAGCTTTATGCAGTCCTTCCACATTGAACAAAGAGGTAAATAAGAAAGTGAGCGGGTGATTACACACCTCCCAGTGCGTGAATGCCTACAGGTGAGGGGGCAGAGAGACATGCTAAAGGGGTGAGGTTAAGAGGGGAAGATGCAGATCACTACAGATTATATTCTTATATGGCCTTTCATGCAAAGGGATCCTGAAGGTCTTAATACTCTCAGGAAATGCTTCAGCTTCCAACAAAGGTAGCCATCTCTGGAGTGCGACCCATAACCTTTTAACTGTGCTATGAACACCATGCAACCCTGGAGGGCAAGATGAAACTCATCATCAAGAGGGATTTAATTGAGTAGATCTGTTTTGAATCACAGTGGAGTCCTGATGTCAGCAGTTTAAAAAGACACTGCTTTTCTCAGATGTGGCTGCATTTCAATGGTCCGTGCAGTAATTCCTCAATGTCTTGTAAACTGGCTGCGAAGTCTGTCAACGGCACCGACATCTCTGGACAGAAGGTGCCGTGTACAAGTCAAGAGTTCAAATACCAACTGGAATTTATCCAAGAAGCTGGAGTCAGCTTGCCCGTCTCTCTTTTGCAAAGTGCCAGGGAATCTTGGAAACGCTCGCATTGTGTTGACAAGTGAAATAAAATAAGCCAATTACCAACTGTAGGGTCAGAAGCAAATGACTTGCCCTTCTCTTCTTCGCTTAGTCTGTCATCATGCTGCTGTCTTCACCAACCACCAAGTCGGAAGACAGCAGGCATGCTCCAGTGCCATATAGAAGGCAGTGCTACACCCTTCCCACAGTTGCATATATACCTCAGATGAGAAGCACAGAACATGCTTCCTTCTCTTCCATTACTGGGGTCACGCAGACAAAGCCAGTACTAGGCTGCACCTCCACGAGATACTAGGGAGGTACAATGAGAGACGAAACATTAATGCACTCCTGTTCTGATCCCACAGAGACGAACCCCTAGACAACAGGGCCTTAGTGGTTCCATCATTTTGGCTCTTGGGGGAGGGGGAGCAGGGAACGAGTATAAGGTGCTTACTCCTGAAGAGCCTACATTGGCGGCCAACACCTTGGCTAGGTAAAGTTGGGTGCATCACCCAAAAACCTTCCAAGCCTTCAGATATTCCTCAAGGAGAAGCAGCTGCACGTGCCACTTCCTTCCATATCAAACCGATTAGACCCAAAGGGCAATGAAGTAGCAGTGGCCACACTTTTTCCACCAAAGCACAGGCTTGCTCAGTCTTGATTTAAGGCCAGAAGATCTCTGCGTAGCACAGGGCGGAGAACTTCACCCAGCAACTTGCGGTTGAACAGGACTATATTCATATCAAAGTACAAAGCAGTTACTTGGCTGCCATCACGTGTCAGTCATGCACCGAGCTGGACTGATCTACTGCTGGGAAATCATAGTTCAATAAAAGAGGACTTGCTTTCATTGTAGGCCGTCTCTTCCTCTTGGACTGGTCACCGTCAGAATAAACGGTGTTCAGAAACTGATGTGGTAGGTAAAATAAGTACAAACCCCTTAGACAGCTTATTCAGCTTTCTTTTAGGATGAGGAAAAAAAAGAAGATGCAAGACGGTGAAAAATTACTTACTAAGTCGTTTTTCAATGTCATTGTCCTCGTTTCACTGCCCGTCCCACTTCCTTCCTTCCTGCCCGTTTTTTAGAGCAGCGGCCGTGTTAAAACATTGAAACAATGCAAATGGTCTGTGAGCACACCTGAAGGACTCCTGTTTCCTTGCTGCTAGTGATAACAGCATGATGCCATTTTTTGTCTGATAAGGAAGAGAAGGGGTGGAAACACAGAGCATTTCTGTACCTAAAAGTTCAGTGTAGGATTTGCAAACCCAGGTGAGTTCTCTAGATTTGAAATGGGGATTGTCAAATTCCTAGGACTGGGATGTTAGCATGTTGGGGGGGAGTCTAAATCAGCTAACAGGAAATATCAGAGGGAGCTGCCCCAAAGCTCACCTCTCTCCTAGGCTTGGTCCCTTTCTGCAACCCTGAGGTGGGTACCTGGGTAAGAATGGGATTCACAGCTCAACTTCCACATGTAAGGTACTTAAGTGCCCCTTCACGTACAGGCAACTGTACACTCTAAGACACCTGGTGACAGCAGCCACATAAAAGCTTAGTGGTTAGAGCAGAAGCCCGGAAAGTAAAAGACTTCAGTTCTATCCCTTCCTCCACCTGAAAGCATTCAGGCTTACAGCTCCCTCCACTCAAGAGAGAGTGCCCTGCCCACCAGGCGAGAGGTGAGGCTGGGTTGATGGCATTCTTCATCCCCTCCTGTGGAAGCTGAATCCCTATGCAAGAAGGAATGCAAGATGCACAGGGCCAGAAGGAGCATGCCCAAGTGCAATGTGGAGAGAGTTCACCCTTCTGCTCCCTAACCACTAGGCTATTGCATCAGTTGCAATCACAAATCCCTATTCCCCCATGTTTTTAAATGCAAGTGACCCCGGGTGGTGAGCCTTGCACTGAACCTAATGCTATCAATGTGCATCAGGCACACTCAGAACACACGTACTGGACTGGACCCATGAGAACGTAATCACATTGACTCCAAACACGATTTGTGAATCACGATTGGCTTTAGGCATAAGATAGGCACCGAAATACTCTGCTCAGCCATGGTGGCACCTTTGTCCGTGGGCAGCAGCTAGACTTCAGCTGTGCGAGTCACCAGTGAAGAGTAAGGCAGCACTGGCTGGCTGACAATGACAAAAGCATCTTACAGACCATGCTAGGGGATGGCATATTTAAATTATATTCTTATGTATAAGCATGGATCAAACTACCAGGAATCCATTGTTTAAAGAAAGACAGAGAAAGACTGGTAGGAAGCTCCTATTGTAAGGTGCTAAGTAGATGAAGGGAGATGTTATAGGCATGTCAGCACAGGAAGAGAATGACAAGAAGACTGAGATGCTAACCACTTGGGCTCCAGTATGTCTAGGAAAACAGATCAGGAATGAATGGACTGAAGGCAAGCAAGGAAAGTAGATGATGTTCTTGTGTTTTGTGAAAAATAAGCTAGGCATGCTTGAGGATTTGGGGTTAGATTTGATCCGTTTCTGGCAAAAAGACGCTTCAGATTAAAGATGAGGTCATAAGAAATCTAGGGGGATAAAGAAGCAGGAGAGAGCTTCTTTGTCAGCGTCAGCTGGTTCTGCTGAAACCGGCCAGCGTGGGACAGCTACAATTTCTCCCTAGGTAGCCCAACTACATGTATCCTGATCAAAGGCTTGTAATTGTAACTACTCACTGGGTGAAGTCATTAATACATGTGGTAACAGCACAACCTAATATACAGTTTACTTCCATTACAGAAGCCTGGCCTGTTCACTTAACTGTATAACTGCTACAGGCCGTTGGACTTTGTATAAGCATTTTATCTGAACAACTGACGTGGTCAGCCAAATTCATACAGCATCTAAATTCCATCTCGAGTTGCACTTTAAGGGCGAGATACAAAAAGGGACCCCAGCCACCTAGTTATTAAGGATACAAATTACAAATGAATAAGTAAGTTTGGAGATTTAAGAAATGACATGTTGTTTATTTGCTGGGGGGGGCGGGAGGGGAGGAAGAGTGGGAGGAAATGGGTCACATTTTAAAAGGTCCAGTATCCCAAGACATTGAATAACTATTAACAAGTGCATCTCATTGGAAAACTGAAACTCTCCTCTTCCCAATGATATAAAGCTCCAGTTACCAGCCCTGTCCGAAATATCAGACAATGGCTGTCCACTGCTTGAGACCAAAATCTTTGCTCTGTGTATTTTAGGTCAGTGTAATTTGGGAGAAAAATGCCACTTCAGAGGAAATTCAACCTGGCCTGAAGTTGTTCAGAGGTGGATTAAATGGCAGAGTAAAGGTTGAACTATCAAAGCTGCATGATACATGTAGTTTAAGAAATGAATGTCACCACCACATGTGGGTGAAATATGCATGCAGTATTAACATAATGCACAAGTTACATATATTCATATATACATGTTATAAATTTTGCACTAATGCACAGAAATTACACGGGCAAATATCTAATAATACTCTTACATAACAAAATATTAAACAAATTGCACTAAAATTACCTTTCTGGAAGGAGGAAAACCAAAGTCCAAGTGGAATATGGCATCGAAAGCAAACCTTTACAGAAACTGCAACATGCATTCATTCAATAAACATCTTTCTTGGGCATACGTACCTTAAATTTTAAGGCAGGTACTTTTGAAATGGATATGCTCGATGCTTTCAATCCATGTAACCTCTCTTCTATCTCTCTCAATCTAGAAAAAAAGGGGTTTCTTTCTTAGGTATAGTCTGTACAAGAGTGGAGGGTTGCCCCTTTTGAGCCAGTCTGTTAAGCAATTGGGGGGGTCTTTGTGGTTGTGTTAGCAGGAGAAATTGATGCTGGAGTCGAGGATTTCTTTTTTGCAAGCCTGTTTATTTAGGAAGAATGTGCATAACGTCCAGTTTCCCTGAAGACAGGAATGATCAGTGATCACACAGCAGGAGACAGTATCCTTTCCACAGTCCCAAGCCTCTTTCCAGATACCACTTTATGCAGAAGTGCTCACTCTCAGCTTCTCCTGGGGTCATGCTACAAGTGTGCTTCTCTCTACCTTGGTTTTCTGGCTGCCTTCTATGGTGTTTTTCTGCTCCCCCCACACTGCAGACATAGATGCACTCAAGCCAATTCCCCACCCCATTGGTAGCAGATCCTGGAGAAACCCTTTGGACTGTATGGCCCTGACACTATGCAGGGATGCTCGGCTAACCCTTGAAAGGAGGTTTTCCATGATTTCAACTATCGCTAAGTAGAGATCGCGTTCTCTCATTACCTTGAATGAAAGGTGGCCCTCACACCCCACAGCAGCAAAGACTGCTCCGTTATTGTTAACCCTCGAAGCACAACACTATTACGTCTTCTATAATTAATTTAACTGATTTTATTTCCAACTATATTGGAACAAATTAGAGGTACAACAGACCTACTGTGCTTTGTGTCATCCAAGAAAAATATATGCACCGTATTTACTCAAATCCAAGATGAGGTTGCATCCCCCCTCCCCCACTGAATATAGGGAAAAAAGCCCCTCATTTTTGGATTTAAATGGGGTGGGGGAGTCGGAGTGGCTTGGAGTCAGAGCCGTAGCTGTTGTCCCCCCCGCCATGTGCCCCCTATAGCCTCCTCTGCCCTTTGCCTCTCCGCTGCTGCTTAGCCTCAGTCGCACCTCTGGCTCTGGCCCTGCTCTGACCCGGGCTGTGGAGCACACGGCGGCTCCAGCCCCTGCCCAGCCAAGCAGCAGTGACAGTGGTAATGGCCACTCCGGCCATGGGTCTAGCTCTGACCTGTGGCTGGAAGGAGGCAGGCAGCAGTGGGCAAAGTGTAGGAGGAAGGAAAGCAAGGGGTAGGGGTCAGTCACTTCACTCACCCTCACCTGCCCCCTCCGCTGTAGCAGGGCTGGGGGGGAGGGGGGGGGCTGAATTTAAGAAGACTCTTTGTTGATTAGATTCTAGACATGGAAAGTTATAACCAACATACCTTCTTCCAAGTCTAGAACCTACTTACTGAAGGGCTGTCTTAAATTCAGAGTGGTCTTGGATTTGGGTAAATATGGTATTAGATTGGGCACTTCCTATAAGCAAGACTCCCGAGAGAGCCCTGTGCACCATATGGTGATAGAGACATAATGATATGGACTGATGTGGATAACCTGGAGAGGGTCCAGAGAAGGGCCACACGTATGGTTAAGGGCTTGCAGACCAAGCCCTATGAGGAGAGACTGGGGCACCTGGACTTCTTTGGCCTCCGCAAGAGAAGGCTGAGAGGCGACCTTGTGGCTGCCTATAAGTTCATCACGGGGGCACAGAAGGGAATTGGTGAAGCTCTACTCACCAAGGAGCTCGTGGGGGTCACAAGAAATAATGGCCACAAGCTAGCAGAGAGCAGATTTAGATTGGATATTAGGAAGAACGTCTTCACAGTTCGAGTGGCCAAGGCCTGGAACGGGCTCCCAAGGGAGGTGGTGCTCTCCCCTACCCTGGGGGTCTTCAAGAGAAGGTTAGATAGGCATCTAGCTGGGGTCATCTAGACCCAGCGCTCTTTCCTGCCTATCCAGGGGGTCAGACTCGATGATCTATTGAGGTCCCTTCCGACCCTAACATCTATGAATCTATGATCTCTCCCTTTGCTCAAGACAGCTCATTTCATAATGAGAAATATCCAATATGGTAAGCATGTGTACGACAAACGGAAAGCTAAAGACTCCGGTACAATTTCGAACATTTAAGAACAGAATCAAACAAACTACTCCAGACACAAGCATTTTCAAAAGCCCAGCAATAACTTTAGTAAGACTACAATCTTTGAAATTCAAAAGTTACAGAATGCAATTGCGTATTTCAGATGAGCGTTCACAATAGCGTCAAACCGAACTGCACACCTCAGAAAGCAAGAGAAAGACTCTTCTCTTTATTCATCAATGCATATGTCAGATTTATCACTTGGATTGACCTGCGAAACCCTGCAGCATGTTTGCTCCTGGCTGGGCTACTGGAGCAATATTAGGATTTGAGGTTTCACCCGTCAAATCCTAACAACAGATGAAAGGGGGCATCAGGGCTGCAAAGTTTGGTATTCTTTCCATTTTACATTCCCTCAGGTGGGTCACATTATTAGGAGATCAGGTTATAGTGCCTTGCAGCTGATAGAGTCAGACTGCACCCAGTCACTAACACAATTACACACCTTACACAGTAAAAGGCTTCATCCTATGTAGCTTCTGCCTCAAATCTTTGCAGAAGTCCGGACACTGGTAATGGAGTATCTGGCAATCTGATAGCGCCCTCATCACTTGCCTTACAGCCCCCTGGGTTTTTGGGAAGGAGGGTCAATTGACCCTCCTGAGCTGTCCTCATCAGACCTAGAGGGTCTCCCTGCCACTGAAGACCTTGACCAACATCTGTAGCCCTCATTTACTGCCATGCCCAGAATTTGTAAGCAACACAACGCTAAAGTTTCTGGCTGAACAAAGGCAGCAGAGAGGTGGATAACTTCCATCCGAGTCCTGGATATGCTCAGAAAACTGACACTCCTTTAGAAAGCAAGCAGCTAAATGCTGGATACAGGGGACACTTACAGCTCAGCTCCCAGTTCCAACTATTGAATCCCTGCTCCCACCTCAGAGATGGGCAGCGTGTGGCCTCCCCGGAAACTGAAAAACTACTTTGTTGAATGCAAGTACAGAATCACCCCTAACCCAAGACAGTTAAGACTCAGCCTTGCATTCTGGAAGTGATCTCTCCTTCAGTCCAGCAATGAAACCGAAGCCAGAGGTGGCCAGCAGCAGCAAGCCCAGCATGGGCCGGGAGCTCCAGTCCCTGCTCCCGGCTTCCCTCATGTATCAGCCCCTGTAGTTATAAAGTTAGCACTTACCACTGCCATTCAATGCCAGCAGAACAGCAGCAGTCACTGGGCATGACTGGCACCAGCAATGGTGGATGTGGGAAACTCCTAAAGAGTTTCACTGAGAGATGGAGATTGCTCCTTAATCATGAGAATGTGCATACTTTACCGTTGCTTAGTTATGTAAAGTTCTTCAATCAAACGTTGCTCCTCGTAGCTCATCCAACGGTCTTCGAGCTCCTCTTCCTCCTCCCTCTGTAGTAACTGTTCATAAAGTCTAACTGGATTCCAGCCAGTCATTATGTCATAAGTGATTACACATCCTAGGGAATGGGACACAATTGAGACCTTCCCTCCTTTTTCTTCAAATTCTGGGTTCCGAGAACAGAAGAGAGTGTACAGGCGGGT